TGTAAACAACATATCTGTCATGTAGCAGTGACCAGGTTGTCGTCAACCCACACTATGCCACAGGGTAACCAAACAAAATTGGCTTCAATGGCTCTGGCATCTGAAATAGGTTGGGATGCCAAATATGAATGTGAAGGTCTTAGTAAACCCTACAGATCACTGGTTTTCAATTTATAGATGTCCCCTAGGCCACTTTTCAAGTTAACGAAAATGAGTTCCTACACAAGTCCAGGCATATGTCTCCCAGCCATCACAGAAGCAGCTCTCCCCTGTCAGACAACTTGCTTAGGGCTATATCCCCATTCCTGACCTGTCCTTCCACTTCTGCCGGCTTGTAGATGCCGTGCCTGTTCCTCATTCTTCTCACCTGCCACACAGCCAGGATTAGAAAGATGATGATGATGGCCAGGACTAGGATGGTGATGGCGGCGATGCCGCCCTCACTCAGCTCAGAGCTGCTGGTCTGCGGCTGAGGTAAATCTATCTCACAGTAGCGGCCTGGAAAATAAAAACAAAAAGTAGTGATTACTATTGAAAATTTGTTTTGTTAGTTTTGCGTGATGCATCAGTATCAGAGAACTTGTAATTGGCCTTATTGGAAGAGATTAGCTATTACTTATTGGAAGAGATTAGCTATTACTTATTGGAAGAGATTAGCTATTACTTATTGGAAGAGATTAGCTATTACTTATTGGAAGAGATTAGCTATTACTTATTGGAAGAGATTAGCTATTCCTTTTTGGAAGAGATTAGCTATTACTTATTGGAAGAGATTAGCTATTACTTGTGCATGGTGAACAGATAAAGATGTGTGAAAAAAGATTGTGAACAGATAAAGATTGGTGAAAAGGTAAAGATTGGTAAAAATTAAAGATAAAGATCGGTGAACAGATAAAGATCAGTGAACAGATAAAGATTGGTGAACAGATAAAGATTGGTGAACAGTTAAAGGTCCTGTGTTGTGATTGATTTTTTCAGACTTTGGATTTAAAAAAATACATTGTTTTGTTGCTGTTTTGTATTTGAGAAACATTCTTAAAGTTCCATCTGCTCAGACTCCTGCGTCTGCTACGACTCCAGTGTCTGCTACGACTCCAGTGTCTGCTCAGACTCCAGTGCCTGCTCAGACTCCAGTGCCTGCTCAGACTCCTGTGTCTGCTCAGACTCCTGTGTCTGCTCAGACTCATGTGTCTGCTCAGACTCCTGTGTCTGCTCAGACTCCAGTGCATACTCAGGGTAAGGCTTGATTGCCTAACCCTAAAATTGATTCAGTGCATAATGAGCAATGGGTCAGGCATAGCATTTTTTTCTTTTCTGAAAGCTAAAAATGTTCCAATTGTAACTGCTTTGTAACTGTTTTCCTCCATGTAACTAAGTCTTGCCATTGGATCAAATAGGCAAGGATGAGAGAGTGAGCAACTCTCCCTCACGTTAAACAAAATACAGCTCAAGTCAAGGCTACGACTCAATTAATTGATCTACATATATAAACCAGGATGCAGTAGATGGCCACAGTTTTTCTTGTGTCTCACTTTGCTCTTTATGAGTTCCACGTCACAGTATGTCGTCGGAATTACATACGTAGTCTAAATCCCTTTAAATAGTACAGGCCTGCACAACATACGGCCCGCGGGCCACATACCCACTTTGTGGCCCACGAAGACTTTGGCGAAAAATCATAATATTATAATTTAATATTAATATTCCCTAGCTTATAGATATATAATATTAGGATAGCTATATATACATATATATACAGTATAATACCATAAAATTTATTTAAATTTTAAATAATTAATTTTTAAAAAAAATTTAATTTCCGGACATATACTTGAACGGAATATTTTATTTTATTAAATCAAATTAAATTAGATCTGCTAATTTTATATCGTTGTGTAAATATTTCACTACATGTTTTCTTTCCTCGTGGCGATAGTAAATCACACACGCACGCTTTTCCAGAGCAATCACTCTTTCTGGAGTGAAATTGACTACGGTTTACAGAGAAATGTATTCTCAATCAACATAGCCTATTAGGTAGCGTAAGTGTGTTCAAAACTAGTGTCTTCTGTGCAGAACAGCTTTTTACTATTTTTGAAATATTTTGTAGAATTGTGTTGTATGGGTTATTTTGATATTCTGTGCTTTTAGTTCAGTAATGCAGTTATAGACGTGGAGCGCCATGAATCAAAGCAGAAAGAGAAAAATAGAGATAGAGCACAGAATTTTTAATCCTGAATGGACAAATAAATACTTATTTACAGTGTTGAAGGACAAACTACTGTGCCTCGTATGTCGTGACACAGTTGCTGCGCCGAAAGAGTATAATCTTCGAAGGCATTTTGAATCTAAACATCCTCCTTTATCAAAATTGGACCAAAGTGAAAAATCCATTAAAGCAGCGAATCTATCGAAAACTCTTACTGGAGAGCAGACATTTTGCAAGAAAAAGGGCAGTGAAAATGAGACTGCTATCAAGATAAGCTTTTGTATTTCAAGGGATTGCTACTGGTGGGAAATCCTTTACTGAAGGTGAATTTGTAAAGAAGTTCATGCTGATAGCCACGTCTGAATTATGTCCGAAAAAAAAAAGTTTTATTTCAAAACATCTGTTTATCGCGAATGACAGTTCAAAGAAGAATTACTGATATTTCCACCAATCTTCACGAACAATTAATGCAGAAAGCTTGTGAATTTTCTTTTTATTCTCCAGCCATGGACGAAAGCACATTTTTAAAAGACACCGCCCAACTTCTCATTTTCATTAGAGATGTTGACAAAAACTGTGAAATTACCAAAGAACTTGCTGGAATGTGCTCCTTGTCAGGTCGCACAACCGGAAAAGATGTCTTCATTGAAGTGATAAAGTGCTTAAAAGATAAGCTGGGATTAGACTTTATAAAATTAGTGGCCATTTGCACCGATGGTTTCCGGAATATGACGGGTATTAATCAGGGAGCAGTTGCGTTTCTTGAAAATTATATTGGACGGCAAATAACAAAATATCATTGCAAAATACATGCGCAGACCTTGTGTAGCCAAGTGTTACATTTAGAACATCTTATGTCCGTTGTTGTCAAAACAGTCAACCACATACGATCAAGAGGACTCAAACATGGGGCTTTTGAAGCTTTTCTTGAAGATATAGACGCCGACTCCAGAGACGTAACGTACCATGCACAAGTGATGGGGTAAAGCCCAGGGGAAGTACTTCAGCAATTCGTTGCTTTGAAGAAGGAAATATCTGAATTCCTAGAAGACGAAGCAAAGGAATTCCCAGAGCTTGAAGATGAGTCCTGGAATCATGACCTCCTCTTCTTCTTCTTTTGTGATATTACAACACATTTAAATGGCCTTAACGTTCAACTTCAAGGTATGTAACAACTTGTATTTGAAATGTTTGCAGCAGTAAAAGCTTTTAAACTGAAAATGAAACTTTTCAAAACCCATTTACTAAATGGTGAAATGAGTCACGTCTCCACTTGTGCACAGCATATTCCTCAGGACAAGCACGTCGAGTTGGGAAAACAATTTGGTAATGAAATTAATCTTTTCATAGAAGAATTTGATGAAAGACTCACTCTTTCTGAAGAAGAAGAAATTCAGTTTAAACTAATTAAAGATCCCCTTTCTGTGAATCCCGAGGACATACCAGCTCAATTGCAGCTGGAGGTTATCGAACTACAATGTTCTGCAATTTACCATAGAAAGCACAGAGAGCAGCCTGCAGAAGTTTTATAAAAATCTGGACCCTGAGAAGTAGAAAAATCTTGAGGAAGTTGCAATAAAAACTTTTAGTGTGTTTCAAACCACTTATCATCTATGTGAACAGACATTTGCAATAATGAACATTAATAAATGCAAGCCACGCTCATGTTAGACTGATGATCATTTGGAAGACATCTTGAGAACAGCCTCTTCCAATATATCTCCTGAATACGACAAATTTGTTACTGAAAAACGATGCAATGTTTCACATTAAATTTACTTCATAAGTAACGAAATATTCTTTATTATTATTATTATTTTCTTAATACCCCCCCCCCTCCCGTCCTATTTTCATTCGGCCCGCACAAGTTTTTCCTGACGTATTATGGCCCCCCTTACATTTTGTGTTGTGCAGGCCTGATATAGTAGTAGTAGATATAGTTGTTTTGACTGTTGTGTATTGTTCTTCAAGCTGTCACATATCCAGTTCTTACTATGAGCAAATTCGGGCTTAACACTCTAGGGGGGGACAAGCCCTTTTTACAGAAATATTTGATGGACCTCTACTACACTCAACCTGGTTCTACCGGCTAGTCAAAGCCGTTATTCGGAGTACCAAGTGTAGACCAAAGATAGATTAGCTACCCAAAGGGGGTATGACTGCTGTACAATCAGAGTTACTTCCCCACCATAAATACCCCATACTCCAGTTGAAAGTTATATTTTATGTAGAAAAAGATAAGATAGAAAAGATGTCCTCATTGATTCAAATAAATGGAAATCTGTTTTTTGGTCCAAGAGGCACGATATTGTTTTTGGTCCCAGTGGCACCATATTGTTTTTGGTCCTAAAGGAACCATATTGTTTTTGATCTCAGAGGCACAATTTGGTTTTTGGTCCCCAGAGGCATGATATTGTTTTTGGTCCCTGAGGCACAATATTGTTTTTTTTAAAGTCTTGAAAGTACTTGTCAGATAATTTTCTGTGCTCAAAAATTGTCCTGAAGTGGGGCATGTTGTTTATGGTTAGAGCTTCTGAGGGATGTGTATAGGTTCTGCGGTGGGGTAATAATAAGCCAGGCATCATGTTATTTTTAAAAGAACTGAACAAGAAACAATTCTATCCTTTTCAGTAAGGGGTCCTGGGTCCCGTTTATTTTGAGAACTGAAATATTGAAACAAGATCTTCTTATATTGATAATTTTAAGGACCACTGATCACTTACCTAAAGAAAAGACAACTTTTACATTTTAAAAAATTTAGACAGACAGCCTTACCTGTAGTCAGTGTCCCACAGGAACAATAATAACTGCCCACAATGTTAACACATAGGGACCCGCCCTGACACCCATGTGTGCCATTCAAACACTCATTGGTGTCCGTCTCGCATCTATCACCATGGAAACCGGTACCGGTACAGTTGCAGGTCTCAGCCGTCAGGTTCTTTTGGCAAACTCCGTTGTTCAAACAGAAGGAATTGTTGCAGTGGCTTATCAGAGTCTGGAATCAAACAATAGGGGGACATTCTGTCAATGGGAATTATTGCTACTTAATTTTTAGTTTTTCAGAAAATTTTAAATTTAAGCACTTGAGCTATAATTTTATAGCATTGTGGATGTTCATCTTGAAACTAAAGAAATCCAAATATTTGTGCATAAAGGTTCCCTTTACCAACTTTTGGTTACATAAATCCTGATTATTTTAGTAGTTAATAAATAGTACAGTTATTTTATAAGTTATTTCTAATTTCTAGTTAATAAATAGTGCAGTTATTGTATAATTTATTTCTAATTTCTAGTCAAAACATATTTCAGTTATTTCATAATTTATTACTTATTTATATTTAATAAATAGTACAGTTATTTTATAATTTATTATTTATTTCAATCTTGTTTCAATTCATCAGTCCAAAACGGGGGCATGTACACCAAAATAAGGGCGGGTACACCGAAATGGGGGCGGGTACACCGAAATGGGGGCGGGAACAATGAAATGGGACTTACCATCCACAAAAAATGATATAACAGATATGCGTTTTTTGAAAAAAATTAAAATAATAGCTATTTGAATGAAGAAATAAGTTCATTTGTGATACATTCAGTGGGCCACAAAATTTAATGTGGCGGGCTGCGGGTTTCCCACCCCTGTATTAAGTGTAGCAGCCTGATTTTATTTTCCGTTAACATACTGTGGTCTAAAACTACCATAAGCTGTCTTGGGAGAAGGGGAGAGAAGTGATGGAACAAAACTGGGGTGCTAAAAATGTACAGCTGCTTAGTGACTTCTAAAAATAGATTGCCAATGCCGCCTACCAGATCTTATAGAATATGTCAAAAATCTGCTGTGTGGTGCAGTTGAGAACACATTTTGAAAAAAAAATAATATAGTCTTGTACAATGTAGCTAATCTTGAACGCCAGAGCTGATTGGATAACTGGACATCTATATATAATGTACACAAAAGATCTATCACCCTGTCAACATAAGGGGCAGTCCATATATTGGGTTGGTATGAAAGTGTAAGGAGGGTCACCAGAATGTACCTAGACGTATGCATAAATTCTGCAATAAGTATCCTGACAGTCTCTAATAGATATCCCTGCAGTAATATTTAGCCTAGTGACAACACACTGTAGTCCACCATGCATCTTTCCGTGCTGGTGACGTAATAATTTTTTTTGGCAAAAAACCTCCTCCACTCTCATACATGGTGGAAAAAATTTTTGCCATACTCCATCTAATAGGAACCTGATTTTTCCCCTTAACATAAAATAGTCTAATAACTACTGCAAGCTGTAAAGGGTGGGGGGAGTAGTATGGTGATACAAAACTGTTGTAGTATTAAAATTGTACAGGTGATAGACCGTTAAGGGGATAGAGCTGCTTTGCAAGCACTGAAAATAGATGTTTCAAAAACAAAATATTTGAAATCTAACGTTGTGCAGCACAGAATAAAATTAATTTTATAAAAAAATAAACATCCCTAGTTTTTTCAGTTTTCACAATTCTTGGGGGTTAAACAAACAAATAAGCCTAGTTATGTAACAAAACTACGTCACATGCATGGTAGCAGCCAAAGGCAGATGGTCGAATAAAGATGAACCTCGTGCCTATTAGGTTAAATATTACTGTTGCAGCATCTACCTAGTTCATTGTGACACATCTATCGAGATCATTGTGACACATCTAGCGAGATCATTGTGACACATCTAGCTAGTTCTTGCCATATCTAGTTCTAGCTGCATCTAGCTGGTTCATTGTGACACATCTATCGAGATCATTGTGACACATCTAGCGAGATCATTGTGACACATCTAGCGAGTTCATTGTGACACATCTAGCTAGTTCTTGACACATCTAGCTAGAGCATTGTGACACATCTAGCTAGTTCTTGACACATCTAACTAGAGCATTGTGACACATCTAGCTAGTTCTTGACACATCTAACTAGAGCATTGTGACACATCTAGCTAGTTCTTGACACATCTAGCTAGAGCATTGTGACACATCTAGCTAGTTCTTGACACATCTAGCTAGAGCATAGTGACACATCTAGCTAGTTCTTGACACATCTAGCTAGAGCATTGTGACACATCTAGCTAGTTCTTGACACATCTAGCTAGAGCATAGTGACACATCTAGCTAGTTCTTGACACATCTAGCTAGTTCTTGACACATCTAGCTAGAGCATTGTGACACATCTAGCTAGTTCTTGCCATGTCTAGTTCTAGCTGCATCTAGCTGGTTCATTGTGACAGACAAAGCAACAATATGACAATTAATCTTCACCATCATTATGAACCGCTGCCATGATATTTTTATATCCTTTGACACCCTACCCATGCGCCTCCTATGACAAACCTCCTCAATCAATAACCCAATTTCCCCTCTCACTGCCTACATAATATAATTAAGGATGGTCCAAACATTTTATAAAATTTCAACCAAGCGTTTTTCTCGGTTCATTCACTACCAGTCGTTTATAGAGAGGGCTAAAACTTCCAAACTAAAAAATTTAATATATTTTTTAATCAAATAAAATTCCATATTTTTTCACAGGGTCTCCTCAATGATGGGCCTCAGCGTAAAATAGTATCTGAAACCTCCGCTAGTAAATTGTACATAAAAATTGCAAGAGTAAACAGGTTTGATTTGATTTTGATATTTATCTTGCGCTGGTATCCATGCGACTTTAGCATGCTTACTGCGCTCTGGTCCTCCGAAATCTATTGAAACAAAAAAGTTTTTAATTGTTTCTTAAATGATGTTTTATCATTTACAATTCTTCTCAAAGATTGAGGCAAACTGTTCCATAATTTTGGCGCTATTGATTCAAAAGAGCGCACTCCGTAAGACTTTTTTATGTGTTCATCCACTCTAGGAACACTCAGTAAGTGCTGTGTTGAAGGGTACATGTTTATAAATCAGTTCCTTGAGATATTCCGGTGCTGAGCCATCTATGCAGCTGTACACCGGGGACAGAATTTTGTAGTTAATGCACTCACTCACAGGAACCCAATGGAGATCTCATAGAATTGGATATGTGTGTAGTCTCTGCAACATGATTGGTCATTGACCTCACAAAACTGACTAGAGTATGCGCTGTGGTCACACACACACACACATACTGCCTGATATATTGAATATCTGCAACATGATCGATCACTCACCTCACAAAACTGGCCGGTGTATGCGCTGCCATTACACACACACACATAATTCCTGATGCCGTCTTGACACGTTCCCCCATGTACACATCGGTTGTTGACACAGTCATCAACATTATCACTGCAGTTGGCTCCACTGTACCCTGGGAAGACATTTATGCCAAGAAATTAACATCTGGTCAATCCTGAATAACAAATGATATTGACTGTCTAACTAAATACTGAATATCAGTATGTTGACTAGGGGTGACCAAGTCGTCTGATTTGAGTAAGTCTTAAGTTTGTGGACTGGAGCTCAATCCCCAGCAAAACCTTAGACAAGCAAAAACATCATCAGCACCCTAACCCTAACCCTAACCTGCAAATAATCTAAGAGAAGGAAAGTTTGAAATCAAACCCAGAGATGGAGTCCCGTAGGTGGTATGATATTGACGCAATGAAAGTATTTCCGACAACTCCTGTAAGGTAGAACACACAAATAAACCCAGTGAAACACACATTACACACTGCTGATCATCTACTGATACATTCCAATTCGTCTTGACCAAGTCTTGCCATTGGATTGATTGAGCAAGAAAGAGAGAGAGCGAGGCTGAAGAATCGAGCAACTCCCCCTCACTTTAAACAAGGTGCAGCTCAAACATCTTTAAAAAAACTATGCCATGCTAATTGATGACATCACAAATGTTCCTCACTGCTGAATTATGTACAATCGAAGAATGAATTATTGACCAAACCAGGGGAAAAAAAGCAAGAACCGTCTTTCAAATTTAAAGCCTATAATGTGTATTTTCAAAAACCATCTGTCCAACAAGTGCCCTTTGGGTATGGTCCAAACATTCTGTGATCAGTAAGATTTTGGCTGGTATTTAGTATTATTCAGCCTTGTAATTCCTTTAGAATAGTTAAATAAATTTAGCTTGCAACCCATTTTTAAATACCCCCCCTCCCCTCCAGTCCAAAATAGTCACTGATGTTTGAGCCACAGATTTATATCTCAGCTCACGGAATCGAAATCCTCCAAGTTATTTAATAATAACTTTTTTAAAGGAAGATAGGCTGCATGACGTGTAACAGTGATGCCTTTTCCCCTGAGTTACCTGTTCCTGTGCAGTCGCAGGTGTACCCATCAAGCTGATCCACACATCGTCCCGCATTCTTGCATGGGCTAAACTCACAGTCATCTTTGTTCTGGCCACATCGAGGTCCTGTCCACGCTGATGGACAGCTGCATGTGTAGCTTCCGGGCGTGTTGGTACAATTTCCTGCAGTGGGCAGTTTAAACCAGAATGAAAAAATTTTATGTGTGTTCCACTGGGATGAGAACATGAAAAGTTTATATACAACTACTTGTTTACACAAAGAACATTAACAAAGCCTTTTCTCAACGACAACCTGCTTGTCTTCCTGTGCACAGAAGCAGATATCAGAGAAGCATTTCCCTCAATTCTTCCATTTTGAAATAAAAACCACACAGGAAGAATCGAACCGGTCAATTTAACTCACCGCCATTGAAGCATGGATTTTGACCTTGACATTCATCATCATCCTGCTCGCAGACATCACCATGGTAACCCGTCCCTTTACAGCTGCAGCTAAAAGAGCCAACAGCATTGACACAAACCCCACTATTGCGACATGGGGTGTCTGTGCACTCATCAAAATCCTCTGTGCACTGCTGACCCATGTATCCGGTACCTGAGGAGAGATGATGACATCATGTGCTTAGCTGGACATAGCACAAAACAAGCACCAGGTGTAATCACATTTAAGTATTAATTCTGAAAAAAACTATTTATTGCCATGGTTCATTCTTCAGTAGAAGTATAAGGCATCAGAGTGATGAACTAATCGACTTCCTAAATTATCCAACCTGCTCTAAATAGTGGATGACATCTGCACTAAAAATTGGATGACAACTGTACTAAAAGGTGGATGACATTTGCACTAAATAGTGGATGACAACTGTACTAAAAGGTGGATGACATTTGCACTAAATAGTGGATGACATCTGCACTAAATAGTGGATGACATCTTCATTAAATAATGGATGACATCTGCACTAAAAGGTGGACAACATCTGCACTAAATAGTGGATGACATCTGCACTAAAAGGTGGATGACATCTGCACTAAATAGTGGATGACATCTGCACTAAATGGTGGATGACATCTGCATTAAATAGTGGATGACATCTGCACTAAAAATTGGATGACATCTGCACTAAATAGTGGATGACATCTGCACTAAAATTGGATGACAACTGTACTAAAAGGTGGATGACATCTGCACTATAAAGGTGGATGACAACTGTACTAAATGGTAGACAACATGTGCACCAAATTGTTGAGTGTTAGTAGCAAATGCATGTCTAAAACTTATGTTAATAACTTTAAATGTAAGAAAACAACTCTTATCTAGTTCATATCTAGTCACAAAATTTTATATCTTGAACATAAACTCTTTTAAAACTCTGGTAAAACCATCTATAAACAGTCACTGTTAACAAAACTCCTTCAAAACCATCTATAAACAGCCACTGTTAACAAAACTCTTTCAAAATCATTTAGAAACAGTCACTGTTAACAAAACTCTTTCAAAACCATCTATAACAATAACTGTTAACAAAACTCTTTCAAAACCATCTATAAACAGTCACTGTTAACAAAACTCCTTCAAAACCATATAGAAACAGTCACTGTTAACAAAACTCTGGTAAAACCATCCATAAACAGTCACTGTTAACAAAACTCTTTCAAAACTCTTTCAAAACCATCCATAAACAGTCACTGTTAACAACCTCGTATGACAAACTCTAATGCAAAGTTATGACACAAACTTATGTAACGAAGACTCATGACAAACTCACCTGAACAGTTACATAAATATGATGGGGAGATAACCTGGCAGCCCCTGGTCGGGTCGCAGCGCTCTCTCTGACAGGTCTCATTCGCCCAACCACAGGACATGACCACATCAGCACAGCTGCACAGACCTCTGTATAGACACACACCGGAGTGATAGCAGGGACGGAGGTAGCAGGAGTCTGTAATGGCAGCGCAGAACTGTCCAGAGTACCTGGCACCAGGAAATTATTAAAATGTTAGCACATCTGAACATTTTGAATTAAATGTATTTTCATTTTGAAAAAGATCATAATTATTTAATGAGCAAATGTAAGTGTAAGAGTTCATTTTTTAATTTTATGGATTTATTTTTTAAATTTTATGGATTTATTTTAAAATTTTTATAGAAGTTTTTTCCACTTCTGATTTTTGCTAATTATAAAACTTTGGGGTTGAAGTTAGGCAAGTTAACAAAACATTTTTTTAAAGAAATAGCCAGGTGGGGTGGCTTTCATTTGTAGAAATAGCCAGGTGAGTTGGCTTTTCTTTGTAGAAATAGCCAGGTGGGGTGGCTTTCATTTGTAGAAATAGCCAGGTGAGTTGGCTTTTCTTTGTAGAAATAGCCAGGTGGGGTGGCTTTCATTTGTAGAAATAGCCAGGTGAGTTCGCTTTTCTTTGTAGAAATAGCCAGGTGGGGTGGCTTTCATTTGTAGAAATAGCCAGGTGAGTTGGCTTTTATTTGTAGAAATAGCCAGGTGAGTTGGCTTTTATTTGTAGAAATAGCCAGGTGGGGTGGCTTTCATTTGTAGAAATAGCCAGGTGAGTTGGCTTTTCTTTGTAGAAATAGCCAGGTGGGGTGGCTTTCATTTGTAGAAATAGCCAGGTGAGTTGGCTATTATTTGTAGAAATAGCCAGGTGAGTTGGCTTTTTAAGCACTGAATGGCAACTTTTCTTGGGAAGGATGAAAACCTGAGGTACCGTAGTCATAAAACAACAGCCCAATTGGTGTGGGATTAAAAATCATCTGTCTGCTCTCTTATACAAAAATTTAAAAAAAAAGATTTAAGCAAAAATGGAAGGAAAAAAAAAGCCATTCTCCGGGTTTCGGCTAGATAAGCTTCAAACAAGAGATGTCCAGTAATGAAACCGATTACCCAGGTAAACAAGTGCAGGTGTAGGAGTTGATCCCATCAGCACACTGGCCACCATTCTTACAGCTGTGGTTTAGACAGTCGTCAATATCACTTTCACAGTGCTGGCCTGCAATGCAAGTTTGGTAGCTTACATTCAAATGTGATGATCGTCACTAACAACATCTAGGTGACTGAAACTGTGTGGAGCTAATGCACACACATTCCTCCCCCCCCCACCCCCCATTTTTTTGTTCCATAGATTATATTGATTTCACTTTTCAATGGTGTACATTATTACAATGCAATATTTTTCCCAAACACTGAGATAGGTGCACAAGATGTAACAATATTTTATTAAATAAATTCTAGGACAGCATTTCCCAAACTTTTAAGTTTGGCAGAACAGGGGACACGTTTTCAAACTGCATTAGGGACAATTGCCAGATTTATGAATTACATTTTCTTTTTATTCGACTGTAAATATTCATGTCGTGTGGACCGGCAACTTAAGGTTTGTAGACCGGCTCCGGTCTGCGGACCACGGTTTGAGAAACACTGTCCTAGGAAACTGGTTAGTGTTTAATTTTAACTTATGTGTTTAAAAATTTATTGGGTCTTATTGTTTGTGTGCAACATGACAACCAAAAGCAACTATTTGAAAAATTGTACTTTAACTTAGGAACCATAAACTGTTGGTCATTTTTAAGTGAAACACATAATAAAGATATAGAAAGAATAGAGATTAAAAGGAGACCATCAAAGTGAAACATGTTGGTTAATTTCTGGAACAAGTTGTGTTTGTCATTCAAACCATTGATGCTGAACAATGGGGGGAAAAAGCAAGAACAGCAAATGATATACCTGTACTAAAGTAAATAAATTAGTACCTGTATATCCTGTCTGGCAAACACAGGTGTAGTTCAAGGAGCCTTCTCCAATACAGCTTGCTTGATTCTTACAAGGATTTGAACCACAGCCTCTTGTATCTGCATCGCACCTGCTACCCGTGAAACCATCAGGACAGCTGCAGATGAAGCCGTTAACTTGATCCAGACACGTCCCATTGTTCCTGCATGGCCCCGATGTACATTCGTTGATATCCTCTTCGCAGAATGCACCGGTAAAGCCCGGTGGACAGGCACAACGGAAACCAGGGAAAAAAATCTCCGACTGCGTTCTGTTGCTGCTATCCCGACAAGTTCCATTGTTGAGGCAGGGGTCAGACTCACACTCATTGATATCCACTTCACAGTTTTTCCCAGTGTATCCATCCGTGCATATGCAATATGTGCTATTTGTTAATGACGAAGATGATTGGTTAAACACACATGTTGCACCGTTGAAGCACATGTTGTACACGCATTGGTTAATAGGGGTCTCGCAGGTGTTTCCCGTGTAATAAAATGAACACAGGCACCGGTACGAGTCTCCATAGTTCCTGCACTCCCCACCATGCAGACACAGACCAGATGCACAGTAGTCCACGAATTCACAGTATGTCCCATAAAAACCAGATGTACAATTGCACGTGTACCTGTTCTCTTCCAGGACACATGTTGCATTATTTTGACACAAGTTAACAGCGCAGTAGTTGTAGCTCTGACACTCAGACCCGTAATATGGTCCAACACACTGACACACATAGGCATCCGCACCAGCCGCGACTGTTTTGACATTATTGTCAACGAGACTAACGTCAGCACTGTCGGAACCTGTCTGATTCAGTGAGGCAGAAGAGTTTGAATAAAAATTAGCATTATTTAAATTATTAAGTAAGAGGCAAGTTCCGCCATTAAAACATGGCTGCGAATAGCAAAGGTCCAAAAGGTCACAATACGTACCGTAAAACCCAGAGTGGCACAGACAGGTGAAGTTGTTAAGAGAACTCAAACACGTTGCATTGTTGCGACACGGAGATGACATGCAGTGGTTGATAAGTACTTCGCAGTGTTCCCCGGTGTAACCGGGTAAACAATTACATAAATAGTTTGTCGAGTTGAGCGAAACACACTCCGAGGTCTGATTCTGAATACACGTGCTCATGGAGCACGGTTGTAGCACAGTTTCACAAAACTCACCGGTGAAGTTTTCACCGCACTGACAGGCGTAGGAAAGTAGTTTATCGAGGCACGTCGCCCCATTTTGACATGAACTGTTCCTGCAGTCGTCTGTGTTGACCTCGCAGGCCGGCCCCTCCCACCCGTCCAGGCAAGGACACTGAAACCGGTTCCACCCGTCGACGCAGTAGGAGTTTTCTGGACATGGGTTGGTGCTGCACACCGGATCACCCTGGCAACCATTTGTTATGCCCATCGTGCTGACCACAGCCCCAGGCTGGACCATGGTACTGTTAACGTACAGAAGCGACTGGTTGTTGAATGAGATTTCTCTGACGCAGCCTTTGAAGTAACCAACCAGGTTTGAGGGGTCACCTGGAAAGCATTGGAGACCATTAGATATTAATTTATCTCATAGCTCAAAACAATTATCAAAATTAAAATCTAGCTTACAAAAATGATGTTTCCAAATATTTAAAACAGGGGTCCTCAAACAATGGCCCATGGGCAAGTATCGGCCCTTCAGGGGTCTTTAACCTGGACCGCTGAGCCGCGGTACGGGTTCCTGGGTAGCGGTGACAATTTGGAAACAAATGTTGACCATCTATTCAGCCAAATGCAGACCCATACTTCCCATTGAGGTGCTAATACCTTAATGTTGTTTAAAAGTGTTCTTCATTTTAAACATTGTGTTCTTTTTTAATTGATTTTTGTTGTTGCTCCATAGAAGATGTAAGTGCAGCTTGCACGGGAATTCATTATATTTTAAAATGATAGAATGGCCCTCAACATTGTCTGAGGGACACTGAATGGACCCCCTGATTAAAATGTTTGAGGACTCCTGTTGTATAGCAAGGGGCCATCCATAAATGACACAAGGAACAGGGGAGGAGGCCTATGACTTAGTGACTCAAGTATTTTATCTCATATATTAGTATTTGGAAGGTAGCTACATTTTGTGACAAGTGTGGGGGGCAGGGGGTTTATCAGAAATAGTGTGACATCATGTAGAGATGCTTTCATGTCATAAGACTAGCTGCATGAAATGTGAATCTTGTGTCAATAGGATCATTTCAGCTATAATTAAGTCCTTCAAAGACAACCATGTGAAAAAAGAGCTGGACTATGAGAGTTGGCCAAACAAAAATGTCACACACTTGATAACATTCATGAACAAATACACAGTATGCCACAGTTGTCACAGGGTTCAATAAAACTATGTCTGTCCACAACCCAGTGCTCTGTCAGTCCACAACCCAGCGCTCTGTCAGTCCACAACCCATGCTCACTCTGTCCACAACCCAGTACTCTGTCCCCAACCCAGTGCTCTGTCTGTCCACAACCCAGTGCTCTGTCTGTCCCCAACCCAGTGCTCTGTCTGTCCACAACCCAGTTCTCTGTCTCTCCACAATGCAGTGCTCTGTCTTTCCACAACCCAGTGCTCTGTCTTTCCACAACCCAGTGCTCTGTCTCTCCACAACCCAGTGCTCTGTCTGTCTACAACCCAGTGCTCTGTCTGTCTACAACCCAGTGCTCTGTTTGTCTAAAACCCAGTGCTCTGTCTGTCTTCAATCCTGTGCTCTGTCTTCAACCCAGTGCTCTGCCTGTCTTCAACCCAGTGCTCTGTCTGTCTTCAACCCAGTGCTCTGCCTGTCTTCAACCCAGTGCTCTGTCTGTCTTCAACCCAGTGCTCTGTCTGTCTACAAGCCAGTGCTCTGTCTGTCTTCAACCCAGTGCTAGCAATATTAAATTTAATCCTGAAATTATTTTAAATCCTCACCTTGGAGAAATGGCCGAGCTCCTACATAGACTTCCATCACGTTTGACTGATTCATGTGATATTGGTTAAAACCAGTTTCTAAAGACAAGGGAGCTCCGTCAAGGTCTATAACGAAGAATGTTCTGTTCCTGACCCAACCTAGTGAATGCCACTCGCCATCTGATACAACTTGACTTGACTCGGCTGTGGCTGTAGTAAGAAGTGTGAACACAGTGTCAACACAACAAATGTGTGAAACGTTAAAGTTGAGCCAATGTTAGTGACAAATGCTATTTACACAATTGATTTCTTGGATAGAAAGAAAAGGAAACAATTTAGAGCAAATTTTTTTATTCTGCTTCATTTTTAAATAAAATACTTTTTGTTTAAACTCCAGACTTTGTGAAACAACAACTTAAAAGTGATCAGACCTCCTCAAATACAAAGATAAGACTTCCCAACCACACTGATGAGACCACACCAACAGCACTGACCAGACCTCCCCAACCACACTGACCAGACCTCCCCAACCACACTGATCATACCTCCCCAACCACACCGATCAGACCTCCCCAACCACACTGATCAGACCTCCCCAACCACACTGATCAGACCACCCCAACCACACTGATCAGACCTCCCCAACCACACTGATCAGACCTCCCCAACCACACTGACCAGACCTCCCCAACCACACTGATCACACCTCCCCAACCACACTGACCAGACCTCCCCAACCACACTGATCAGACCTCCCCAACCACACTGATCAGACCTCCCCAACCACACTGCCCACACCTCCCCAACTTTAAAAAAAAAATGCTTTTCAATGGAATATTTTTGTTTTTCATGATAAAAAAAATAATCACATCACTTGTGTTTTTTTGTCAATGAATTGTGATGGAAATACCATGCAGCATGAACTCCCCAACCACACTGATCAGGCATCCCCAACCACACTGATCAGACCTCCCCAACCACACTGATCAGACCTTCCCAACCACACTGATCAGACCTCCTCAACCACTTACCTGAACTGAAGCTAGAATAAGCCTGCAGCCTGTCCCTGTATATCCTGAACCACTTACCTGAACTGAAGCTAGAATAAGCCTGCAGCCTGTCCCTGTATATCCTGAACCACTTACCTGAACTGAAGCTAGAATAGGCCTGGAGCCTGTCCCTGTATATCCTGAACCACTTACCTAAACTGAAGCTAGAATAAGCCTGGAGTATGTCCCTGTATATCCTGAACCACTTACCTGAACTGAAGCTAGAATAAGCCTGGAGTATGTCCCTGTATATCCTGAACCACTTACCTGAACTGAAGCTAGAATAAGCCTGGAGCCTGTCCCTGTATATCCTGAACTCTATGGAGCCCCCAACACCACCATCCAGCAGGTAAAACTGGAGCAGCATCAGTGTCGCGGTGGCCTGCCTGGTACGGAACTCCACCTTCCCACTGTCACCAAATGAAAACTTTGCTCTGTCCAGCAGGATGGATGCAACGCTTGAGTTGCCATCAAACGTGTTGGCGGCCGCTTTCAAACACAAATTCAAAACAAGAAATAAGGGTAAATAGTTAATGAATAGCATTACCTGTTAATGGAATGGGTTACGTCCTTTAGATGGAGGTGGAAAATATACTTCAGATATGAAATGCTAATTAAAAATATATGGCGGCAGACAATGAGACAGCTGATATTAACAGACTATGAGACAGCAGATATTAACAGACTATGAGACAGCAGACAATTAGACTGCAGACTATGAGACAGCAGATATTAACAGACTATGAGACAGCAGACAATGAGACAGCAGACTATGAGACAGTAGACAATGAAACAAAAGACTATGAGACAGCACATATAACAGACTATGAGACAGCAGACAATGGGAAAGCAGATATAAGCCGCATTTTAAGTTGGCTTTTTACTCAAGCTCTCTCCATTCTTTTGTGTTTTCCCAAACAAAACCAATTGAATTTTCAAAAAGATTTGTTTTATAAAATTAATGAAGAATATTAGGTTGTTGTTATCTTGTGTGCTTACTTTTCATTACTAATATCAATCTGAGCTGAAGCTCTGAGATGATTCTGAAGATAATTGGTGAGACAAGTTACACAATTTTCTTTGCTGCCTTCAGGAAACATTGTGACCTGCTAACAGGGACTCTATCCAATACAGAGTGATCTAAATACCTTGTGAACAATTGTCTCCAGTGTAGTTGTCTTCAGGAAACATTGTGACCTGTTAACAGGGACTCTATCCAATACAGAGTGATCTAAATACCTTGTGAACAATTGTCTCCAGTGTAGTTGTCTTCAGGAAACATTGTGACCTGCTAACAGGGACTCTATCCAATATAGAGTGATCTAAATACCTTGTGAACAATTGTCTCCTGTGTAGCTGTCCTCACACAGACACATGGCACCCGTCCAATTAGGGACACAGACTCCTTGATTCAGACATGTTTTAGACAGACAGGCCTCCTCTGCCTCACACCCGGGCCGTGCTGTCGGTGGGTCATTCCCCAGTGACGTTGGAACATGTGAAGAGAGGTCTATCGTGACGTGGTTCACTATGACATTCCTTATGCAGCCTTTAACGCTGTTGTGTGTTGAATAGAATAGGATGTAAGCTGTTGTGTGTTGAATAGAATGGAATGTAAGCTGTTGTGTGTTGAATAGAATAGAACGTAAGCCATTTAATTTAAACATTCATGCAAAGCCATCAAACTTTGTTGAAACTCTAAATTATACTGTTATACAAATTTTCAAAAATAATCTTAAACCTAAATAAAAAAAAAGGTTAACTCTGAATAAATCCTCTTCTTATTTGGAATATTAATTTTGTACCATAATGAATTTTCTCAGGAATCTCCAGTGATACACTGCTCCCCTGTCAGGAACACTTTCCCAATGGAACCCACTTACAATACATGGTGGCCTATGTAACCAATGTTGTGTCTTGGAACACACAATACATGGTGGCCTATGTAACCAATGTTGTGTCTTGGAACACACAATACATGGTGGCCTATGTAACCAATGTTACTTCTGATGTACACGTAGCCATACTTCCTCTCATTAAAACAAAATGTCAAGTCCATGCAAGTCGAGGAATGTGCATTCATCACTTTATTAGTTGAAATAAAACTTGACACATAAAATTTTAATAACCATACAATGCAGCCCCCATTCACAGAATCAATGTGAGGTCAACAGTAACAATCCAATGAATAAAGAATATGAACTCAAATTATATCTGTGTTCAAAATTGATTCATACAACCTCTCTCTCTTTGGATATTCTACTATCACTCCCTCATTTTACATGCTTGCCAAATTTGCTGACAATAAATAGTCCTGTCTTTTGTAATTATCAATTGTAATTAATCATCCATGTGATTCAGAGTATGTTTTACTGTGTGCTCAATGAACACTAGATGTCATGATGTTACAGTTTAGAATTACCATGTGAATCACACTTCCCTAGTGATGAACTCTTTCCAAGATATGCATGCTTCTTCTGGTGGTGAACACTTTCCCCAGTCATTAACAGTGCACACACTTCTCATTGTGATATCCAGCATAAAATGATAAATATTGTCTCTGTCCAAACCCCCTTAACCAGCCAGTTCCCATTGACCAACCACCTCCCACTGACCAGCCAGCCCCCTTTGACCAGCCAGCCCCCCTTTGACCAGCCAGCCCCCTTTGACCAGCCAGCCCCCCTTTGACCAGCCAGCCCCACTTTGACCAGCCAACCCCCCTTTGACCAGCCAGCCCCCCTTTGACCAGCAACCCCATGTTGGGAAGTGTGTACAGTCCCATACGAGCTTCATCAAGCTTCTATTATTTACAATAATTGATGGACTGCATTCAAGTTATGTAAATAAAAATTAAGAACAAGGGATAAGGGATGCCAAACTTGAATTCAGAGACAGGACAACAGATTAAGACGTTTCAGCTTAGATCCTTCATCAGCAAACAAGACAAAAAGAAGAATGACAAGTAACAGAACACAGTAAAAATACTTTTTTTTTTTTTGGAGAGATTTCCTTTTGTTGCCAGAATTAAAACTGTGCTCTGTTACTTGTCATTCTTCTTTTAGTCTTGTTTGTTGATGAAAGCTCTAAGCCGAAATGTCCAAATCTTTTGTCCTGTCTATGAATTCAAGTTTAGCACGCCTTGTTCTTATGTTTCTATCATTTACCTTTGTTCTGTGGGCAGAGGCGGACTCCTGCCTCTCCACTTGTCCATGGCGGTGTGCTGATGCAGCATGCCCAGAAATAAGGGGCCACCCACAAGTATCTGAGAACCTGCAAAACCTCTTGCTGACCCAAGAGAACCTGTTGTGTTGCTGGACACTTAAAAGATGATGATAATTTTGGTGTATACACAAACACAATATATGAGCTTTTTTTGGTGTTTTAAACCCACAAAAATGTTATAATTATGACACAGGTGAACAAAGCAAAATGCAAAAACTATTTCAAGTTGTAAAATATATATTGTTATTGTATTCTATTACAACATATTAAATTTTAATACAATGTAGTGGATCAAGAGTGTCACATTTGTACATATAAAACATCCCTTTATTGTTTCTCCTATATATATATTACTTTGTTATAAAAACAACCACTTTAAATAATGTATGCACCTCTTATGCTAGAGAAATACTTAAGATGTCTTGGGTCTACTTCTTCTTCTTCTGTATCTTAAGAGCCCACGATCAATTTATTGATCATTTTGGCTCCTACTTGATTTATCACTTAGGATATGCAGCTATGCAACTGAAATTTTACTGCTAACAGTACGAAAGTGAAAGTTAACAATACGTCAAGATTTAATTATGACCAAAAAGTCTAAATTGTTATAATTGTAAAATGGTGTCTTGCTTAAAATATGTATTTGAACAATGTAATCAAAAAACATTTCCATTTATTTGGATTAATAAAGAATATTATCATTACATTACATAGTGGTGCCAATAAATGTTTAAATGATATAGTTTCAAGTGTCCTATAAGCCTTCCTCTAAATGTTTATATACATTTATATTTGTTAAATTCAAATGGCACTGCACCTTCTCAGTAGCATTCAGATGAAATTCTTCTTGTTTATTTATTTCCTAATGACTTTGAAATTGATTGAAAAAATCCCTCTGGACTGGTAATAGAGAATAGTTTCATGGGTCCTAAACAGCACAGTTACAGAAGAGTAAGGTCAAACATACATTTATATTTAAAATTGCGTTACCCTCCATTGAAAATTCCTGGCCTAGAAACTGAAGACTGACACTGATCCATCCCCGAAGGTGAAGGTCACTGCCAACTTTTATGACACTATCCTGGCCAGACGAAAGAGGAACCAGCTGTGCTCTGACCTGACCGTTGTCGAGACTGATGCTCACCATATCTCTGCTCCACTGGAAATAAAACGTAAAGAAATGTGAAGCTTAAGTTAGGGCACGTGATCCCTATATCACAACCAAGTTTATCACAAGAGACAGTTTTGGATGGTAAAATTTTACTCTCGTTATGCTATTTTTTTTTCCAATCCCCTTCCATTTATCGTGTACTTAAAGTTTAACTATTTCAAAACAGTTACGCTTCCACTTCTCTTGCCATTTCTATTGGTCTACCTGTGAGGACTCATTCTTAATGAGACAAATCTTCCATTTCAAGTTGTTTATTTTTTTATTTTATTTTATTTTTATTACTTTTTTAAAAATGTCTAAAACTTTCTTAAATACAAATAAGTGTTTATAAAAATTCTAAAAAAATCTATAACTTTACAATACTATAATATAGGTCTACATACTGTGTATAAGATTAGCCCTGATAAGTTTGCTGCAGTGACTTCAAAAGACAATTGTGAAATGGAAAAATTCCCATCAAAGTACAGCATGTTGTCCACGTCAAAGTTTGCAGTGTTCTGGAAACCGCAGCCAGGCCCACTGAACCCAGGTAGGCAGACACACTCCAGGTGTGTCCACCGGTCAAGGCAAGTCCCTCCATTGGAGCAGGTTGTGGCCAGGCAAGGGGTGTGGGTTGAGCAGCCAATGGTTGGAGTGGTCGTGTCATTGGGAGTGGTGAACTGTTTGGCATCTGCCAAGTTGATGGCAAGGCTGTTGACAATGAGATTCTGAAATATTTCAAGAATATTAGTAACACTTAAGCCAAAATAACTGACAAGTTAGAGTATGAAAAGATAATTAAGAAGTAGCATTTTTTTAAAAGGTTGACCTGTTATCAGACAGACCTAGAAAGAATTACATCATAGATGTCTTAGATAAATATTGGGAATCAGAAGCCTTGTTCATAAGATAGGATGAGATCAAATTCATAGATAAGATAAGATAAAACAGTATATATAGGGGTCATTTTGGTACCAAATTAATTGATTAAAAAAATGACAGAACACTGTCACCTATCAATGGAAGCCGCCATTAAAGTGGCAAAATGAGCAAGAAGTGCAAGAAGCAATCTGATTAGCTGCTACACAGGCCAGCCAGCCAATCTTGAGGTTTTTATTATTGGGTCCATGGATATGTCTTTTGCCTTTTTCGCCATAACACTCTGGGCCAATAGATCGGCCCAGCCGTCTCAAGAGGGTTAAGCTTAGTTTTCATGTTTATAATACTGCCTCTGCCAAAACTATCGCACAATTAGCCTAATAAGCCATCCAAGCAAAGTCATGCTGAAGGTCATATTGAACTGACTAAAACCATATGCCGACAGAATCATTGCTGAAGAACAGAAACCTCCGAATACTATGTGAGAAATATGCTCAACACCTATACCACGTCTTTGTTGACTTCAAGAAAGCATTTGACAGGGTTTGGCATGCTGCTTTATGGGCCACCGTGAGGCACTATAACATCAACACAAACCTAACCAGCATGATATGCAACCTCTATGATAAGGCCACCAGTGCAGTCTTCCTCAACAACAACATCGGAGAATGGTTCAAGACCACGGTTGGAGAACGACAAGGCTGCCTGCTCTCCCCCACCCTGTTCAACATCTTCCTAGAGAGAATTATGTCAGATGCTCTGGAAGCACATGAAGGGACAGTCAGCATTGGTGGCAGAACAATCACCAACCTATGCTTTGCAGACGACATAGACGTACTGGCTGGGAACAAAGAAGAGCTAGCCAACCTGGTAAAGCGTCTCGATAAGACCTCGTCGTCCTACGGCATGCTAACCAGTGCCGAAAAGACAAAACTGATGACAAATAATACCGCAGGCATCACCACTGAAATTAAGGTCGGGGAGGAAAGATTAGAGACTGTCGGCCACTTCAAATACTTAGGAGCAATAGTCTCAGAAGAAGGCTCCAAGCTCGAACTGATGTCCAGGATTGCGGAGACTACAACAGCACTAAAGAAGCTCAAGAAAATATGGAATGACAAAAATATAGCCCCCAGCACCAAAATCAGGCTGATGCACTCATTAGTCCTCTCCATTTTCCTGTATGCCTGCGAGTCCTGGACATTAACAGCCGATCTTGAAAGGAAAATAAAGGCGATGGAGATGAGATGCTTCAGAAGCATTTTTGGCATCTGCTATAGGGACCATATCTCCAATGATACAGTGAAAGAAAGGGTTCGTCAGGCAATGGGGAGTACGATGACCTACTGGTGACTGTGAAAAAACGCAAACTACAATGGTACGGCCACGTAACAAGGAAACAAGGGCTTGCCAAAGAAATATTGCAGGGCCCCACAAGAGGAGGGAGAAGAAGAGGAAGAGAAAGAAAAAGAAGGGAGGATAACATCAAAGAGTGGACAGGACTAACACTTGGCAATGCAGTGCGTAGTGCCGAAGACAGAGACGAATGGAGGAGGATGGTTCACATGTCATCTGTGGCGCTCCAACGGTCCAAGGACTAAGGGACATGATGATGATGATGATGAATACTGGCTCTTGTCAAATTAAAAATGTTCTTATTGATCTTAACAAATTTGTTTTCTTTCTTATATGAGAGATGTATTTTTTTAAAACAAACACTATAGTGAAAACAAGGAAAGAGGCAAGAAAAAGTTTCCACCTACCCCTAAACATCCAATAAAACCTCCCACTTCCTTCACAATGCTCCTTGTGTAAGGTGTAAGACCTGACACCCCTCCAAAAAATAATGGACCCTCCCAGCTCCATGATGTTGCATTCTCAAACTTCAAGCTGTGAGACCACCTGCTGTCACCATCAAGGTCAAGGGTGATACTCTCAACCCCAAGCTCCAACTTCACAGCATGATTGTAAATTTGGGAATTCTGGTCAGATAACTGAATGGAGGAGTCAAGCCGCTGTTCTCCATTACTGGCAGACAGATAAAGTATGGAGTCTCTGATCTCAAGTTTGATGTGTTGGGGTTGGCCAGATGGTGAGATCTGTCAATAAAGAGACAAAAACTGTTCAATTAATTCAGATTAACCTTATTCCTGTTAGCACCTTGAAAAAAAATCAATTTTTTGCCATATTCTCTTTGAACAAATCTTTTGTGCATACTGAACACAAGTTCTAAAAGAAATGCAGGCCTAATTAAGTAATTTTAGCAGTATTGTTAGTGCCATAGCTTGGGTTAGTAGCTTGGGTTAGTACAGCCTGGGGGTGGGCCAAGATTCTTGCCGCCCGTCAATATGTAGAAAAAAGTCAAACCCTGGACGGATCACCCCTCCACACCACCCGTCCTATGCCAATGGATACCTCTCTCAAATGCAGAGTCTTCCCTTTGATTAATATTAAAAGACTATTGTGGCTCATCTTGTGAGCATATCATATATTAATTTATTCAAATGAAGCCTTGAAATGATCACGTTGAGAACAATGGAACGCCTACTTATTATATTTAACTTATACGTATAAATTGTTTTTAATAAGCTCAAATTCATATTTAGCAAAATGTAAAAAATCTGTTCAATAAAGGAGATACTCTTTTCCACATCTTTTCATAAATATTCTCTACGAAAAGTAAACTAAAATATGTATGTATGACTTTACTCCGGTGGTAAGTAGCAGAATGCCTTCAAGCACCGTAGTTGTGAATGTGAACTGTAACTGTACATCAGAGGCGGCCAGTGGGGCCATCACTGCGGCTGCAGTGATACCCGTTTTAGGCTGGATAATGACCTTGAGTGAGGATAAGGTCAATACAGTGTTGCCGTTGAATGTGGCCTCCTTTATAACGTCACAAGTTTGACCCTCGACCCCTGAAAGGCAGGCACATGTAAACGTGGCGGGTGTGGGCTCAGTGCAAGTTCCTCCGTGGAGACATGGGGAGGAAGAGCATTCGGGGACATCTTCTGAACACCTGGGGCCTGGACGATATAACAATTAATAGGAGTCAGCTGTTGCCTGCACAATGTAAAATAAAACAGCCTTAAGGCAAGGGTCTGGCATCCTAATATAACAGCCTTAAGGCAAGGGTCTGGCATCCTAATATAACAGCCTTAGGGCAAGGGTCTGGCATCCTAATATAACAGCCTTAAGGCAAGGGTCTGGCATCCTAATATAACAGCCTTAGGACAAGGGTCTGGCATCCTAATATAACAGCCTTAAGGCAAGGGTCTGGCATCCTAATATAACAGCCTTAGGGCAAGGGTCTGGCATCCTAATATAACAGCCTTAGGGCAAGGGTCTGGCATCCTAATATAACAGCCTTAGGGCAAGGGTCTGGCATCCTAATATAACAGTCTTAAGGAAAGGGTCTGGCATCCAAACCCAGATCTGTTTCAAACAGGTCCCTCGGCTACTTTGTCTTTTTGAGTCCTATCGGTAAACATAAGCAATATTTGTAAATAGAGGCATATTTGTAAGTACAAGCATATTTATAAATAGAAATAGGGGTGTGGTTTCAAATAGTTCCCTCAGCTAATTTATCATTTTAATTCAGATTTGTGCATATACATGGGGGTGTTGGCAAATGTACTGGGAGGGTGGGGGGTGTTTGCACATAAAATATGAGGACAGCAGTAAATCCTTGTTAGGCCAGACTTTTGACATATGAGGACAGCAGTAAATCCTTGTTAGGCCAGACATATGAAATATGAGGACAGCAGTAAATCTTTGTTAGGCCAGACATATGAAATATGAGGACAGCAGTAAATCCTTGTTAGGCCAGAAAGCCAAAACAAAAGCTATATGCTGCATGTCTAATTCTGACTTACTCTTGTTTTAAATACATAAGATGCTGATGGATCATGCTGAGAAACTAAAAAGTTTGACCTTATCTTCTGTTCCTTATTTGGACATTTACCTGTAAAACCCGGTGGACACACACAGGTGAAGTTGTCAATGCCATCAAGACAGGTGGCGGCACCGATACATGGAGAACTAAAGCAGTCATCAACATTGGTCTCACAGGCCACACCTACAAACACAACACATGCATTGTTGACATGGTAAAATTTAAATGAAAAGCAATTCCTAATTTATTGTGCAGCCATACTGACAACATACTGATTGGTGCATTCAAGGATTCCAAGAAATCGTGGATGGTATGGATTCTCAAACTTATTCTCAGCTGGATATAAAGGTTCAAACATATTGATCGCTCCCAAAAGCTCTTAAATTATCTAGTGCATGGGTCTCCAAACTTTTCAGCCCAAGGGCCGCATTAACTATCAAACAGGAGTCCGGGGGCCGCGTACACACTCGAGGTCCAAATAAAAAAGAATCAAAACATGGATGTTGTTTTTAATGATGTATGTATGTATGTATTATTTCATTCAGTTATTATTTAATAACACATGGATACACGACACATGAACACCTGTATTAGTGGCAATGGTGACATTGTTTTCTGGATGCCAAAATAGCACAGTGATTAGCAGACATTTCTGGAGTTAGATTTGATGTCCCTAACATCAACAGTGACCTCAGATTATAATCGGACAAATTTGTTCTCAAATTGTTCTTCACATATTTCATTCTCTAAAATGTTTGTTCACACAGGCATGTTGTCCCAAAGATTGAAAGGTACATTGATGCAAATGTTTTGAAATTAGGGAAGTCTTCCTTGGGCGAAAACTAGTTAAAAACCCACCAGTCCTTTTTTGAACCTGTCCCTAAGGTGGTGATTTGCTTGCAACTCAATGACCTCAGGTGCAGTTCATCTGGGCAACTGGCCACATCTTATTCAAATGGGTTTTGAAAAAGTCTCACTTCTTCTGCCTTTAAATCCAAGTCAGAAAACCACTGCTGAAACTGCAGCTGGGGTTTTTGATGATCTCACATGCAAATGACGTGTGCAACTCCGCTTTTGCTTCAGCCACGAAGACCGTCCACTGCTTAAAGTGTGTCAAGTTGTTGGCCTGTACTTGTTGGAAAAAACAAGACGAGTTTGGATCTGAAGGCCTTTAGGTGGGTTTATAGATCAGAAACTAGATTTTCCTCTCCTTTGAGTTTTAGGTTCAGAAAATTTAAATGACTAGTTATGTCTGCAGCAAAGACCAATTTCCATACCCACTCTTCATCAGACACTAATGGCTGTGGCTTGCCTTTACTTTCCAGGAAGTCACCTATTTCCTTTCTTAACTTAAATACTCTGCTCAGAACTTAGTCACAACTTAGCCATCTTATTGCTGTGTAATATGGTAAATCTTTATATACTTCTATTCATATTTCAGTTATACTGGCTGATCTCCTGAACCAAGTGGCACATTCAGTTACAACAGACACCACAGACCCCACCCCACCAACAACTCATCACCTGCCACTGTACTGTTGAGTCAAAGTCAATATGGGCAAGTCATGACAAAGTTTTAACAACTTTTGATAGAATTACTTTGTCCCATCACCCTCCTGATCTCTTTGAGCTCCAATAGTTTTATAAAACTGATATTTATTTTTTTTAAACATCTCGAAGATGAAGGTAATTCAGTTAAATATGCCTATTAAGAAGTTGAAACAGACTAAGAGACAGACAAAATGATAGACAGTCATCATTGATACCAAGTAATATAAAAAGTTTCAGATAAGTAATGGAATTATCATGTTTATTTTTCATCCTGTCACTTGACCTACCTGTAAACCCAGGTAAACATTGACATCTAAAAGCATTGCTCAGATCCACACAGGTGGCATTGTTTCTGCAGGGGTTGAAACTGCACTCATTGACATCAACATTACAGGTAGTATCTGGGATGAAAAGATCAATTATTTGTCTTCATTATGGAAAAGATACTTCACTATAATAAAATGAAGAAGGTTTATAATAAAATAGGTTCCTGAAATACAGCTAAACAAAAGGTTCTGATACTTGCAGAGAAAATAAATTTTATTAGTTCAAAGTAATGAAATGCTGCACTGATGCTGATAGTAGATTGGCACTGAGCACTGATGCTGATAGTAGATTGGCACTGATGCTGATGGTAGATTGGCACTGATGCTGATGTTAGATTGGCACTGAGCGCTGATGCTGATGGTAGATTGGCACTGAGCACTGATGCTGATGTTAGATTGGCACTAAGCACTGATGCTGATGTTAGATTGGCACTAAGCACCGATGCTGATGTTAGATTGGCACTAAGCACTGATGCTGATGTGAGATTGGCACTGAGCACTGATGCTGATGGTAGATTGGCACTAAGCACTGATGATGATGTTAGATTGGCACTGAGCACTGATGCTGATGTTAGATTGGCACTGAGCACTGATGCTGATGGTAGATTGGCACTGAGCACTGATGCTGATGTTAGATTGGCACTAAGCACTGATGCTGATGGTAGATTGGCACTAAGCACTGATGCTGATGGTAGATTGGCACTGAGCACTGATGCTGATGTTAGATTGGCACTGATGCTGATGCTGATAGTAGATTGGCACTGGGCACTGATGCTGATGGTAGATTGGCACTGAGCACTGATGCTGATGTTTGGCACTAAGCAGTGATGCTGATGGTAGATTGGCACTAAGCACGGATGCTGATGGTAGATTGGCACTGAGCACGAATGCTGATGTTAGTTTGGACCTGGTGCTGATGCTGATGGTAGATTGGCACTGGGCACTGATGCTGATGGTAGATTGGCACTGAGCACTGATGCTGATGTTAGATTGGCACTGAGCACTGATGCTGATGGTACATTGGCACTGAGCACTGATGCTGATGTTAGATTGGCACTGAGCACTGATGCTGATAGTAGATTGGCACTGGGCACTGATGATGATGGTAGATTGGCACTGAGCACTGATGCTGATGTTAGATTGGCACTAAGCACTGATGCTGATGGTAGATTGGCACTAAGCACTGATGCTGATGGTAGATTGGCACTGAGCACTGATGCTGATAGTAGATTGGCCCTAAGCACTGATACTGATGGTAGATTGGCACTGGGCACTGATGCTGATGGTAGATTGGCACTGAGCACTGATGCTGATGGTAGATTGGCACTAAGCACTGATGCTGATGATAGATTGGCGTTGAGCACATGTGGTGGAATGCACAGTTTAAATCTGTGGCCACCTCATCTTAGATAATATAACTGCTGCAAATTTTTAGATTTACAATCAGGATATAATAAATGTGGTCCAGCAGGGGTTGTCTTTTACTTGTGATACCAAGTAGACTCAAGCAACCGTGATCTCAAAGTTAGAGTTACTCTAACCCCAAATCCAGGCCTAATTTGATGTTACAACTCATCATTTCATTATTGATCTGAAATGACAATTTAGCTTATTTAATTCACTTACAGCGATTTCAAAACCCTTAAGAAACCACTTTAAAACCATTGCATAAGTTTTCAAAACCATTTTTACAAAAAACATCTTTACAACCATTTCACCAACAATGCACCCAAACTTACTTGAATAACCGATAGGGCACTGGCAGGTGAACCCTCCAACCTGATCTAAGCATGTCCCTCCATTTAAACATGGGTCGGGCATGCAATCATCAATGTTTTCCTGGCAGGTTTTCCCTGTCCAGCCTTCAAGGCATTGGCAAGTGAAGTCATTTATAGCATCGAGGCAGGTGGCGTTGTTTTGACAAGGGCTGAGAACCGTGCACTCATCAATGTTGCCGCCACACAGTTGACCTAGGCAAACAAACAAGAAATTATATCTTCTTAGTGCCCTTATTTTTATAAACTTTATATATTTAAACATGCTTCTTATCTAAGTACATTGTACACTGTCTTCTCATCTGTATACAATGTACACTGGCTTCTAATCTGTGTACATTGTATGCTTCTAATCTGAGTACATTGTACACTGGTTTAACAAAGATAAACTTTATATATTTAAACATGCTTCTAATCTAAGTACATTGTACACTGGTTTAACAAAGATAAACTTTATATATTTAAACATGCTTCTAATCTAAGTACATTGTACACTGGTTTAACAAAGATAAACTTTATATATTTAAACATGCTCCTAATCTAAGTACATTGTACACTGGTTTAACAAAGATAAACTTTATATATTTAAACATGCTCCTAATCTAAGTACATTGTACACTGGTTTAACAAAGATAAACTTTATATATTTAAACATGCTTCTTTTCTAAGTACATTGTACACTGGTTTAAAAAAGATAAACTTTATATATTTAAACATGCTTCTAATCTAAGTACATTGTACACTGTCTTCTCATCTGTATACAATGTACACTGGCTTCTAATCTGTGTACATTGTATGCTTCTAATCTGAGTACATTGTACACTGGTTTAACAAAGTTCACATCTGTTTGGAAGATGGATAGTGCGAAGGGAGATAACCACAGACAAATACTTTATTTGAACAAATTTCAACTTTTCAATATTTTATATTTATTATTTACTCTGAGGATGACTTTTAGCTGAAAAATTCATACCTGCATTAAATGATAACATGGCATAACTTTAAATATTTACATAATTTGTGAATCTTTTAATCTACACTTTTCTAACGAAGTGAAAATTCTTAAGCAAACCTAGAACCCTTTACCTGTATATCCCGCCATGCACTGACATCTGAATCTGACCCCTTCATCATTGACAGTGCTGAGGTCAATACAGCTGGCATTGTTCTGACAGGGGTTAGGCTGGCATTGTGACAAGCCGACTGAGCAGTTTTTACCTGTGTAGTCTGAGACACAAAGAAATATTTTGTTGAACAATTTCATATCACCTTTTCTGTCCCACACAGATCATCAGATGTGGTTGAAAACATAAAATGCCATTTCCAAAACATCCTCAGATTTGGTCATAAGGAAGAGCTCAATTGTTTGTTTTTTTAAAAGATCATATTTAATTTGTACTGGTTCAACATCTTTAAAGACAATTTTAACCAACTTCCATATTTCCTAAAAAAGCTGAAATTTGACGACTCTGCCTACAACTGAATCTGTTAAGTTTTCAAGAATTCATATCATTCCTTCCTTAGATAAAAGGCAACCACGATCTGTATTCAATGAAGCTGAAATTGGCTACGTGGCTCCTTTTGTAGCATAAAAAAGTACTTAAAGAGTGTTTAAGAAAATGTTTATATAAACACATTCTAAAATTGTTGAATGTAGTAGAGGTTCTTTTACTTGTTAAAGCACAAAAAATATATAATATAAATGTAGTGAAAAAATGAAAAAGTTGATCTAGAGATATAAATGGTAATGTATTTTTGCCTATGTATTTCAGATCTATGTTTATTTTAAAACTTGAAAATGTTTAGGTTTGGAGAAAAACATCAAATCATTCAAGGTTAAAATCTGTTTACAAAAAGTCAACAAGGCCACTTACCGGCTGGACAGAGACAAGAGAAATTGCCTGTACCCTCCACACAAGTCCCACCGTTGAGACAAGACTGCTGACCACAGTCCACAATGTCTGTGTCACAAATTCTGCCTGTCCATCCCAAAGGACAGACACAACTGAAGCAGAGAAAAAACAATAATTTCATCAAGAGTTAAGTATAAGCCAAGACAATCAAAAACTTCCCAAGCACTCCGGGTGGATGGGACTTGTTAGCCTTGGACTGCAACTCATCTAAGGGAAGGCAAACTCTGAATTCAAACCAGGAGCCAGAATGATCAATAAATTGATCTTGGCCCTAAAATATAGGGAAAAAAAATAATTAATAAATAATCTTTTCAATTTCAGACATAAATAACTAGAGTTGATCACCATGTTATTTAGACATATTGAATCTACATACAAAAAACCTGGGGTTCTGTTGATGCACTGTCCATCATTCAAGCATACAGACGACGTGTTCCAACATTCATTAACATCTACATCACAGTTGGTGCCAGTCCAGCCAGCAACACACTGACAGCTATAGGCTGTGAATGAAGAGAATTTATGTCAAGTACCAATGTCCACAGAGCATCAATCAACATATGAAATGTAAAAATCAATTTATAAAGAGCTTGTCAACAACTTTTAGATCAAACAAATTCATAATTTTGCAAGAGTTTGGTTAGGGTTAGATCAAATAATTTCAGGATCACAATTTCGCAATACGGTTTGTCATTTCTAAGACTGAAAAAAAAATCACATTCTGTACGTAATGTCACTATTTTTGGAATTTTTTTTGGTAAAACATAGCTTCTAACAATGTATTTCTGCGTACATGAAGTAGCAGTAACAATTTGTTTGTAAAATCTTTTGTAAAATACAGTTGTAAATACGTCTTTGTCTAGGTTAAGACCACTATGCCGGCTCACATTAACGTCGCCAGCTTTTGAGAGATTGGCCAAATGGAATACCAGGATTTGGTATTAATATCTTATGAGATTGGCCAGACTGTATGCCCGGATGTTCTATTAATAGATTTCTGCCATTAACTGACAAACCCAAAATATAAAATTAATGGATTATTAAAATGTGAAATTAATGTTTCAGAACATTAGGATATTTCTCCGACAATTACAAAAAAGTCCAAGCCTTAGGGGTATAAAAAGCTTAATTAAAAACAGATTAAGAGGTAAAAATGATACTTTGATCATAATTTAATATTGCTCACCATTAGGTCCCAGAGAATAGCAAGTCCCAGAATTTTTACAAGGGCTGGACATACATGCTTGAAATTCTATTTCACAAAGTGTTCCAGTATATGCACTCAAACAGATGCATGCAAACTTTGAAGTCCTTAAACTTACTCCAGTGTTATTTTCCGCTGACACCGAGTCGTCTCCCTTGATGGTTGCAGAAGTAATCCCAGAATTCCAGCTTCCGTCCACAAAAGAAGCATCCTGACAGGTCCCCCCATTTAAACAAGGGTTAGACAAGCAGTCATAGACATCGGCCTCGCAGAGGGTGCCAATAAAGCCATCTGAACATGCACAGCTAAAACTTGTGTCATTCACCCGATAGCACGTCCCTCCAAACAGGCAAGGGTTGGGGATACAAGGGTCCAGGCTCGATGAACAGGACTGGCCTGTAAACGGGGGCAAGCAATTACACACGTAAGCTCCGGTTTGCAAAGAACAGGTTCCTCCATTGGTGCAGTTTGTTACTCTGCAGTCAAAAATATTTGTCTCACAAAGCTGACCAGTAGTTCCTGGTGGGCATTCACATCTGGGGACCATAGGAGTTAATTTTTAACATATTTACAATACAAGAGATCTCCTTTCATAAAATAAAATTAACCATGGAAATAAAATATCCTTTCAATGTTAATTCTAGTTTTAATTACAATTTTCTTTTATACAGAAAAATGGAGCCTATTTGAGAAAGTTTATTTTAATCTTTTTTTGCTCAGTGTCCAATTGAATCATTCTGACCTCCATTTCAGAGTGAGCAAAAAAAAAAAATGCCAGAGGATAATTTGATTATTTTATCTCCCTGGACAGTGGGGTGAGGAAGGAAAGCCGCTCAGACCCAAGGAGAGTGGACGCGAATGCTTTAAACGCAGCATTTTCAGCCAACCAGACATCCTCCAGGCCAGAGGGGGGAGGTTCCCCGCGTGCTTCCACATGATCTGGCGGCGGGGAGACCCAGTGTCAGCCTGTGTGGGCATGTGCCAGGAGGAGGGGGGGGGTTATTTAGAGCTCCCGCTCGACGACCAACCGACGCCATCTCCAATGTGACGATTGTTGCATCTTTTTTTTTTAAACTGAATTTACAGAGAAATGTTTGAGACAACTCTGATTATACCCCCTATTGTATGAGAGATGTACTCCTCACCATACCCCCTATTGTATGAGGGATATACACCCTATTGTATGAGGGATATACCCCCTCTTGTATGAGGGATATACCCCCTATTGTATGAGGGATATACCTCCTATTTTATGAGGGATATACCCCTATTGTATGAGGGATACACCCCCTATTGTATGAGGGATATACACCCTAATTGTATTAGGGATATACCCCCTATTGGATGAGGGATATACACCCTATTGTATGAGGGATATACACCCTATTGTATGAGGGATATACACCCTATTGTATGAGGGATATACACCCTATTGTATGAGGGATATACCCCCTATTGTATTTTCCCCCTGAATGCACCACATCATTCTTTTATGAATGACAAGTGACAAACTCTCATTTTAAAATCATGTTTAAATTTACTTGATATTAATATATTCATTTGGAGGTAATTTTTAAATTCAAATATATTTTTTTTTTACCTGAAACCATTGACAAGATTAACACACACTTGTCGACCTTGACACGGACTGCCGTCACATTCATTAATATCAACTTCACAACGTGATCCCTTATACCCAGGAGCACACAGACATGTGTAACTGTTGGGGGTGGTCTCAGAGCAGTTGCCATTGTTAAGACAGGGCTGGGAAGCGCATTCCTTTATATCCTCTTCACAATGTGTACCTGTGTAGCCTAGGAAACAGATTTGGTGGTGGTAAAATTGAACTGTTTTTTATTTATGGCACTACCAAATATTGTTAGTCTTTTATCTGATAATGTATAATCAAAGTTTTTCAATTTGAAAAAAATAAATGTTTTCTTTTTTTGTATAGTCTGCCTTTCTTGTTTTGTATTGTCTGCCTTTCTTGTTTTGAAAAAGGCATTTAGCAAAAACATCCTTTTAATAGCTCTGTATTTTAATTGCTCTGTCTTTTAATTGTTTTGTCTTTTAATTGTTCTGTCTTTTAATTGTTGTCTTAATTGTTCTGTCTTTTAATTGTTCTGTCTTTTAATTGTTCCGTCTTTTAATTGTTGTCTTTTAATTGTTCGGTCTTTTAATTGTTCTGTCTTTTAATTGTTCTGTCTTTTTTTTCAAGCCTAAACATATCTTCTTTTATCAGACAATGATTTATTTAAAATCCATCATAATTTATTCAGAGTCCTCAACATAAAATGAATAACCCAACTAAGAGAGGTTTCAATTAAATTATTCAAAAAAATGGATTAATTTTTTGTTTCATAAACTTTTTTTTTTAAATTGGGTACAGGGTGCTATCATAAACTACTTGCTTTCTTGGCTGGGTTATAAAAAAAGCAATACACCGTTTGCCAACAAAGATAAAAACGAGGAAGCAGCTGAAATCTTGCAATGACTTAAGAGGCATTTGGAAAGGACATTGGAGAAAAAAATACTTCAAACTTAAATATACTTTAAAAGACACTGAAGACAGAGAAAAGCACTACACATCGATGGAGATACTGTACACATTAATGGAGGTACTGTACACATTAATGGAGGTACTGTACACATTAATGGAGGTATTGTACACATTAATGGTGGTACTGAGGCTAAGAGTGAACAAGGATAATATTTCTGAAGCTTCTTCAGCAATGGTTGGAAGAAAATATTACAGTACAAACAAAAAAATGGGAAAGCTTGATACACAGAGCAAAGTATACAGGATCAGTTCTTTTTGTTCCTTTCTGTTTGTGGAAAGAAAAGGCTTTCAGTCAAAATGCCAGGTGTTTTGTTTTTTTGCATATCAAGTTTTCCCCATATATTGTTCTTAATTTTTCCATGGGAGTGAACGGTTGACTTACCTGGTGCACATGTGCACGTATAGTTGACTGCAAAGTTCAGGCAAGTTGCTCCATTCTGGCATCGCAAGGGCACACATAAATTCACCTCAAACTCACAATGGTTGCCATAAAACCCTGGCTTACAGAAGCACTGGTAGCCTCCTGAATTTAAAAAAAAGTCAGTTAATTCAAGAAAACATAAAATAATTAATGGTTATGTGGTTATGAAAACATTTAAATTTATTTGTAAAAAAAAAAGAAAAAAAACAACAAAACAATCTTTGTATAAGAAATGAAAAATTTAATTATTTGCATGCATCGAGGTATATAGGAAAACTTGAGAGTATTCAGTTTCTAACTGCATTTCTGTCTCCAAAATACAATTGTAATAATTAACTATAGAAAAGTATAATGTCATATTTTCTTCATAGTTCTTATTTTATGAAATGCAATCTAAAACTTTAAAATTCTTGCCATACTTTCTGTTTTATGGAAAGATAATAAAACATTTTATTTAAATAACTTGCAATTCTTTATTTTATTGAAAGATAATAAAAAAAATTTCATTGAAAGATAATAAAATATTTCATTGAAAGATAATAAAATTTTTCATTGAAAGATAATAAAATATTTCATTGAAAGATAATAAAATATTACATTGAAAGATAATAAAATATTTCATTGAAAGATAATAAAATATTTCATTGAAAGATAATAAAATATTTCATTGAAAGATAATAAAATATTACATTGAAAGATTAATAAAATATTTCATTGAAAGATAATAAAATATTTCATTGAAAAATAATAAAATATTTCATTGAAAGATAATAAAATATTTCATTAAACAAACACACCTTGAGGCTTTTCTATACAGATTCCTTGAGACCCACATGGGTTCTCCAGCTGGCACTGTCTGATGACACCCTGACACTGTGGACCAAGGAAACCCTCCAAACATTCACAGCGAAAGTTGTTGATGAGATCGATGCATGTGCCTTGGAAGTAGCATGGGCTGCTGTCACATTCGTTGATCTCCTTCTCACAAGTTGTTCCTGTGTAACCTGGCAGATATAAAGACTCACAAATAGCATTTAATAGTAACATGGACATCAGGAGGGGGGAGCAAGGTGACTAATTTGATCCCCCTGGAATTTGCAGCTAGGTTTTTTTTTGTCGGTGCCAATAGTGGTAGGCCTATGTATTGAAAATATTAGCATGGTATCAGAATAATAAATGTGGAAACAGATCTACAGCAGCTGGGAATCCAAGCATGGAAAAGAAAAGCATCAGTTAGGTCTGAGCTGAAGTAAGTGGTGAGGCAGGCCAAAGCCCTACATGAACTGTAGTGCTACAGGGATGGATAACGTTTGCTGTGTCTGCCTTCAATTAATTACATCTCACAACTATATAGTAGTATTTTACACTGGTATCACTAAAAATGAATTCTTAAATTGAATTCAGCACAGCTACAACGTATTAAGTTTTTTTATATCCTGTTCCAAGAATGAAAATATGAAGTTCTTACAGGTCCATTCAGTTGACCAATCAAAACATTATTCTCACTACCTGGAACACAGCTGCACACAAATCCACCAACTGTGTTCTGACAGGTTGCTCCATTCTGACAGAGTGATGTTGTCATGTTGCATTCATCAACATCTAGGCCACATGTTGGACCAGTAAAGGTCAAAGGGCAATCACATTTGAAACTGTCAAAGGAATCTGTGCAGTTGCCTCCATTTTTACAAGGATCTAACAAACATTCATTTTTCTCCTGAGGGATCATAAAGACAGTTAACATAAAGATGAACAATTAAATTTAAAAATAAATTATAAACAATAAGTCATGTTTGTTTTTTTAAAAATGAAAATTCAATAGTTGCAAATAAACATTTACATATCTTTACATTTAATGGTAAGATTTGACTTAAATTTTGTGGCATTTGAAATTTATTTATGAGGTTTGAATATGATTCAAATTATCAGTTAAGCTTGATTTAAAGTAAAAATAACAAATATTAACTACACTAAGCACCTTTTCACAGTATGGGCCCTCCCACCCTGACAGGCATTGGCAGGTGTAGTTACCCAGTCCATCAATACACAGGGCATTGTTCTGACACAGGTGTTGTGATGGAACAGTACAGTCATTGATGTTGGTTTCACATGTGTTACCAGTGAATCCTGTCTGACATTCACATCTTGCAGACTCTGATGTGGTGAGGCACTGTCCTCCATTCTGACACATTAATGACTGGCATGAATTAGACTGGCAGTTAATTGCTGAAGACAAAATATAGTTCAATACTTTTATTGTAATTTTCAAGAGATAATAAAAATTCATTATTCCTATTTTGTTTTAACATTAAGTAAATTCAGTCATTTCCATGATTCATAGTCATAGCAATATAGCGCTCATCTTAAGTATCTTTTTATAATTTTTAAACAATTATATATATAATATATTCAATCATTGTTATCCGAGAATGAGGAGAGCAGCCTATGTTCTTAAATAGACATTATTTACATTCTCTGGTTGTAAATAGTATAATGTGTCTGAATGTAACTGTATGATTGTGTGAAGGTGCTAATAAAAATGATTAATAATTAAGACCCGCCCCACACCCCCTAAAAATCTTAAAGTTAAAACTCTGCTGTACCCCACTGCCTCGGTAATGACAAAGGAAGAGGGCTGGATGGGGTAATCCTTTTTTCTTGTAAGGAGGGGGTGGCATTTACAGGCTGTAAAAATCTAGACCTGCACGAGGCAGCACTAACCCTAGCTACGCCACTGGTGAATACTACGAGTATGTCACAGAGTAGTCAGACGAGTAGTAGCAGCAGCACACCAGTCACCCAGCAGAGCCGGAGTGCAGTTGGGTAAGAGTAGGCTCATGTCATAATCAGACAATTAACACTGTCCACTCTGTGTGCACTGTCATTGCGTTAAGTCAAGTTAAAGCAGTTAGGGGGCAAGGCTTAAACTAATGATAATAAATAACTTAACTTATAATTAAGTATAAGTAGGCTAAGTTATAATAAGTTATAAAAGTAATAAATAAGTGAAAGTGTATAGTATGGTATAAATTAATAATAAGTCTAAGAATAGTAATAGTAATAGTAAGAATAAGTTATTCTGAATAAGAAGTAAGAAGTTTAAAAGAAAAGTAAAAGTGTTAATATTAATATGTAAGAAGAGATAGTCTAGCTAATTAGTCGTAGCATGATATAATTATATTATTAAAAGAACTAATTAAGAGGATAAAAACTACTTAAGATGCTACTGAGGGTATTAGTTTCTTTTTATTTATGTTGAACTTTTCCCCACTTCTGATGTCTTTGAATTCATCGTCTGAGTAGACCCACACATTTTTAGTAGCCTCCCTTGAATTTAAAGTTGTTTTTTTAAATCGTCTTTTTATGAAATACTTTCCAATTTCATTTTGTATTTTGTCCAATTTGTCCCCACTCTCCTCAATCAATATTTTCATTAAAGTGCCATGAGAAAAGATGATTCTTCATTTGTCTAATCGTCTGATAAGAAATTCTCTAGAGTAAATAATCTACCATAGTTGCTTGTTGCCTAGCTTTTACAAAAGGAAAACTTTTATTGATCTTATGACTAGTTATGATGGGGGTTGGGGGGATAGCCCCTTAAAAACAAAGTTTTTCGAATAACTCCTTAATATGCATTTTTGTTTGCCTTTTTTTTTTAATTGTACGTGATTTTATCAGTTTTAAGAAGCAGTTATGTAAATGGTTAACCTTCTTGCGTTTCATATTTCCTTCATTTGCTACTTCAAAAACACATTTTATTTTTTACTGCTTTGGATTTTGTTGGCCGTAAAAAAAAAATTTTTTTTTTTTATTTTTTTGGGTTTTGTTGGCCGTAAAAAAAAAAAAAAAAAAAAAAAGCCTTTAAAAAATATTAAACTGTATTACCTTTCTTGAACTTTGGGCACTAACAAGTATTTTTTTAAAGGGAAACTGATATTTGGGGGTTAGGTGGGGCTGGAAATTTGTTATAAATGTATTGTCATCGGCAACGAGTCTATGTGCCAAGTTTCAGCTTGATAGGATGACGAGAAGTGAGTCAATTAGCCTTCCGAAAAATTAGCCACACAGAAACGCTTGCTTGAACATAAGCAAAGTTAATATAAATGATTTGATAACGTGTCCGTGCAGTGCATTGAATGGAAAGTTTCATTGGCACATGCTGGAAACAAGGGGGATTTTTTACATGATTTTTTGAAATAATGCCTTCTTAATGATATAATAGCAATTCTCTTCTAATCCAATATCTTTAGTGCTTTAGTGCGGGGGGGGGGGCGTCGCTGGGGTTTGCGACAAAACGAAGTCGCTTTACTATTTCTCTCCTCTCTCAGCCGTGGTTCACTGTTACGGACTGGTCCCGCTGAATTGAGTAGCTCACGGCCATCGTTTGCATTAAATGAAAGTGGACCAAAAATGCTGCTCCCCCAAAAAAATATTTTTAAAAAATGTCTGCCAGGAAGATCAGTCCTGTCCCTACGCCCGTGGACGGTACGGTCTTGTAAAATGTCATGTCGATCACCATGGCGGTAGGGAACAGTTTTAAATCATGGCAATAGCGTTTAAGTTCAAGGGGAAATACTGTAGGCATTCAACCAGGACACCCCAAACCTCTACTCCCCGTAACAACTATGCATTTATCTCTTAGGGCCAAACCTCTACTCCCCGTAACAAACACATTTATCTCTAAGGGCCAAACCTCTACTCCCCGTAACAACTATGCATTTATCTCTAAGGGCCAAACCTCTACTCCCCGTAACAACTATGCATTTATCTCTAAGGGACATAGGGCAACAATGCGTTCCTGTAGGACTCGGGCCCTGATTTTTTAAACCAGTTTAAAACTGGATTTCTAAAACCGATAACCAGTTTACCGAAACAAACAACTGATATTAAAATCCCTAATCTCACCCCAGTGCTAAGAATGTCGAAACAAATAAAGGACAAGAAGCACGCCTACCTGGCACCATGATGCAGGAGATTAAAATCCAGCCTCGAGTCAGCCACCAGAAAATTCCCATCATCTCTCATCGTCATGGTCATCTTTTCCGACGTCTGTACGAGTCTCAGCCATCCATTTGTTTGTGAAGTGTCACATTCTTTGTTAACATTGATAAATCTGTGGTGCGTTGTTGTTACACTAGATTCTCCAAATACTTGGCTTTGATTACTGTTCTATACCCACGCCACTTGGACGTACACTAAACCAGTGGTCGGCAAACCTCGGCTGGCGAGCCGCATGCGTGTCTTTAGTGACTTGAGTGCGGCTCTTTGGCTCCACGTATTCATGCGAACGATCATTGTCGAGCATTAGCCTCACCAAGAAACCGTCTGACTGATGAGAATCTGAAATCCTGCTTGAAATTAACAACAACGACATGCAAACCAGACTTTTCCTAGGTCATCCAAGGTCACAGTCATGAGCGCCGGCAGAAAACTTTCTAAGGGGGGGGGCAAAAAAAATCGATTAATTTTCCATGGGGGGGGGGGCAAAAAAATTTTAGTAATGTTTTAATGTAGTTTTAATTTACTGTAGCGTATTTGTATGGTGAACGAACGGACAGGACATCAGCTTAGTTACTTTCTCTTTATTTTCTCTTTACTTTATTTTTTTTCTCTTTTATTTTATTAATTTTTTGTCTATTTTTTGCTAAAAATTTTTTATCCAATCGATCCCGGGGGGGGGGGGCAAGTGCCCCACCTTGCCCCTACCTGCGGGCGCCCATGGTCACAGTTCACATTAAATGCGTCTTTTGTATTTTGTCAATAAGATAATTATTATAATATCTGGTTGAATTTAATGTTTAATGCGTACTTTGTATTTTTGTCAATAAATAAGATTATTATTAAAATATCTGGTTGTAATTAATGTTTAGTAGCTAGTTTAAACCGACTCCGAAAAACATGGCTCTTGATAGTTTCTTGAAAAGAAATTTGGCTCTCAAATTTTTTTAAATCGTCCAACTGCTAAAATTTGGCTCTTTTGACTAATGAGTTTGCAGACGACTGCACTAAACACATGCAATACAAATTATAAACGACGTGAAAGGGAAACTATTGTTGGTACATATATATATATATATATATATATATAAATAGTTCATCATTAGAAATGCTTTGTAAAATGTCCACCGTATCAACACCTGATGGTGATGTTATGAATATATAAATTATAATGCAAAAACTATTGAGTGGGAAAAGGTCATTATGAATGAGAGTCAGACAGGCGCATATGATTATATGTAGAGGGACAGATGGAGCGTCAGACAGGCGCATATGACTGTATGTAGAGTGACAGATGGAGAGCGGCTGATAAGTAGTATAGAAATGGATCGGAGCAGTGATGAATGTATAGATAGATGAGCGCTTGGATGAATAGATATATGATTGGATGGATGTATAGATAGATTAGTGGATGGATGGATAGATAGATAGATGAGTTATAGGAGTCCAAACAATACCTTGATACTTCCAATCAATACCTCGATACTTCCAAACAACACCTCGATACTTCCAAAAAACACCTCGATACTTCCAAACAACACCTCGATACTTCCAAACAACTCCTCGATACTTCCAAACAACTCCTCGATACTTCCAAACAACACTAATCCAAAATGAGATGAAAAGTGAATCACGCCAGGATGAGATGAAAAGTGAATCACGCCAGGATGAGATGAAAAGTGAATCACGCCAGGATGAGATGAAAAGTGAATCACGCCAGGATGAGATGAAAAGTGAATCACGCCAGGATGAGATGAAAAGTGAATCACGCCAAGATGAGATGAAAAGTGAATCACCCCAGGATGAGATGAAAAGTGAATCACGCCAGGATGAGATGAAAGGCCTGATGGTGATCTGATTGACTGTTGACAGCTGTCACACTTTAGGTGTGGAGGAGGTGATATGTTTCAGACATAGTTATGTGCTAGGGCGTGTAGTTTACGCATTTATGACGTAGTAATGTGTTATAGCGTGTTGTTTACACATTTATGACGTAGTAATGTGTTATAGCGTGATGTTTACACATTTATGACGTAGTAATGAGTTATAGCGTGATGTTTACACATAAATGACGTAGTAATGTGTTATAGCGTGATGTTTACACATAAATGACGTAGTAATGTGTTATAGCGTGATGTTTACACATTTATGACGTAGTAATGTGTTATAGCGTAATGTTTACACATTTATGACGTAGTAATGTGTTATAGCGTGATGTTTACACATTTTTACGTTTTAATTTATGTGTGTAAA